CACGCAACCTTTTTAGCCAAGGAGCAGGCATCCACACCGGCAACGTCGTGGCGGGTGTTGTCGGGAAGAAAGGACAAACATTTTCTCTCTCAGTGGTTGCCCGCCTTAGAAGATAAGAGCTGTCTTCATCAGGACCTCGATATCATCTCTTCGGCCCAGCAGTGGAGTTTGCAAACCTAATGGAGAGTACGGGGGTTCCCGGCAAAGTGCAGATCAGCCACTTGGCAGTATCTTGTGTACCTGCAGCTAAACGCCTGACGTCGCGGGCCTGGCCGCACATGAAGTGGCGACTGTGCCCAAATGCACATGCATCGAATTCCACTTTGCCAGGTCAGTCAACTAAAACGTGGTTGGACGATGGTGGCCATGAGTACGACTTCGAGCAGCGCACTGCCCCATGTAAGCATATACGGTTTGCTTCTGTCCATGTGCATGTGTTGCACAGGAGCTTGTTGCCAGGAGCTAGCAGCTAGCTGGCAGCAAACGGGTTCAATTCACATTCGCATGACCGCAATCCCGCGCTTAGTCCAAGCAGTAATGCGCTATGTTCATGGTGCCTTGTTGCAGATGTAGAAAAAACGAGGGACCTTCTTTCTCTTGTCCTTGGTTTGCATGGTGGTTGCAAGCCGCGTTCCATGCTAGGATTATGACAGCGCCTCTGCCTCTTTGCTAGAAGAGGCTCACCTGGATGGTCACGAACATCAAACCTACTTGCTCACCAAAAGCAAGGCCGGAAGGGTCACAAAGGCGTTGGCTTTGCAACAGTGCGTCAACTTGTGATAATTTGTGCCAGCGTGACGCGACAAGGCCAAAGCCGCACGCCAGATTCGCACCGCCTTGGCAACCAAGCGTCAAGAGGTGCAGGCGGGACTCCTGTCCCAATGACCGCATTCACCAGGATGTTATTGTCAAAGAGATTTAGTCACAAAGCGCGAGCCAGATTTGTGGCCCACCGCAGGCGATGTCATCCTTAACGAGCTACCAGAGCGAGGGGGCCAAGCGCTTGTCCGAGAGGACTGCAGATTAAGTCGCACAGCGTCTCGTCAAAACAGGTCATAGACGGACATTGCAAGGCAGACCGGCTAAGCACCATGAACATGTGGTGGTTTGAGAGGACTATGGGGCTTTCACAAATTAGAAGACCAGCAAAAGAGACAGCTCTATTGGGATTGAAAAAAATGTCCTGCAGCAGCCAAGGCATGCGTTATCTAGCTGATCAGAAGCAGCGAGCTTCAACTTCAATTCGTTTGGCTGCACGGACATTTCAAAAATGCCTCCCCGAGTGTTTGTGAGACTCGCGTTTGCTGTGAAGAGAGTCTTCGCGCCAACACAAGATCTATTCAGGTCCCTTTTTGCAGGCTCCGAATGGAGAACTTCTGCAAGTTCGGCGCCTTTGCCAGAGAAGCTACTTCTAGCCGCCCTTGTGCAAGTGCTGCAAGCAGTCGGTTTCTCTGGATTTGACATTTTCAAGCGCTTTTGAACAAGCTCTTAGCGTCTGGCAAAACGCCAGTTTCAAGAGACAACGGCGGTGGGCTGCCGTGAATCAGGACAGTAGGGGCATGCTTCAAACTGCTGATGCTTGATCATTGGACATTGGAGACCCGCATCAAATTTGACTGGACACCTCACAGCACCGCAATCCTGCCAAACTGTACAGTACTCTCAAACCTGGCAAAGATGGGCGCCAACTCAGTTTGCAAAACAAGCTTTGCATAGCTGCCTGCTCAGTTGTTGAAGCCAACCCAGCGATGCCTGGTGATGTTTGTTGCATTTTCCGCTTTTCATCACACGCAGGCTGCCTTGAAACTTAGCCGATCGCACGATTCTGAGAAGGCCACTGAGAAGGCCAAAGTTGTGTGGGTCTGTGTCGTATGTTGCTTCCACCTCTTCTTCAGCGAACTCTTTCTGTCCTCGCTCAGTGTGCTTTCCTTGTTGAGGATGCCGGGACCACTACCACGACGCAGGCAACTACTACGGAAAAGGAGGTGCTTAGTTTGGCTGTGCTACTTCGCCACTCTTCCTCAATGCAGTGCTGAGCATCGTCAGGAGCCCGACAGCGGCAATGGATTTTCGTGGTTCGATTGGCTCAGTCTCCTCAAGGAGCTAGCAGCTAGCATCTCATGAAGATCTTGCATCGGCATCCCGATGAGTTCGTGCTGTGATCCAGGCATGTTTTCATGTGTCCCGCGCCATGCAGGAGGCCCAGGCGAACTCCAGCAGCGTCAGCAGCGTCTCTCCGGAGGCACCATGGAGAGCTAAGCTGCTGCAAATGTGCCACATGTCGATTCCATGCGGCCCATGACAGACTCCGCTTGGTAGAGAGCTTGAGTTGGGTTGTCACTACGGTCAAGCCAAAGCATGAATGAACAAGGCTCAGGTGCATGAGGCATAAATGACCTTCGCTTTTGAGATTTAGTTTGCTGGCGTTACACTTCTCCACCGTGAGGCTGACCTCCAGCTCTGGCACAAGACCTCAAATTAGAAATTAGGTGGTCGTTGTTGAGCAATGGCCTGGAAAGCGTGGCATGGATGTTCGCAGGGGTTGCTAGGCCCACCGAATGTCCTTGAAGAGAAACTTGACATCATCCGTCCCCATGGAAAGACAACTACGGAATGTACAGAGGATCCTGAAGTTGTCAAGATGAGGGCTGGAGACAGCATGTTTGGTATGATGCCATTACCATTCGCGACTTACCCGGCCATTGTCATGCGATACTCAAGAGTAGATGTGGCGCAGTTGAAGACTTCACTGGAGCAGGCACTCCAAGCTGTTCCAATGATGGCAGGGCGGCTTCGCAGCAATGGTGATGGCTATGAGGTGGTACTCAATGGGGAGGGAGTCCCATTCTGGGTTGTCCGATGTTCAGACAAGACCGCCCCAGACTTTGTCGAGGAATACAAGCTTCCTGACTTTGCAGTTTACTGCCGGCCCCCTTCAGTTCGAGCAGGTCGCGAACCGTTGATGACCGTCAAGCTGACGACATATCAAGACGGAAGTAGTATCTTGGCATTCTCTCGTTCGCATATGCTCTTCGATGGAACTTCCGCATGGACATTTCTGTCCTTTTGGGCAAGCCTTGCGCGTGGAGAGGCCATTGCGGCACCATGCTCTGGGAGGGAAAAGATATGTAGTCTGATCCCGGAAGAAAGCATGGTGCAAGAGCTGGCTCAGAAGGAGCTTGGCAAGCCGCTGTCTCAGTCTTGGCTCATGGGCATGGTTGGCAAAGTTTTAGTGCCGGTGCTGGCTCCTGTGGTTGACACCTTGTTTCTGCATACAAGAATAGGCTTGGAGAGACATAGGATCTTCTTCTCAGATGGTGAGCTAGCAGCTATCAAAGAAGAAGCCACCCCGACCAGTGCGAAATCGGGTCAAGACCAGTGGGTAACGACACAGGAGGCATTTTGTGCTTACCTTCTGTTTACCTTGGCCAAGCACATCCTCCCTCCAGATGCAAAGGGTACTGTCCAGATGATGTTCCTCCTAGATGCTCGCAAGGCGCTGGAGCTTCCAGCAAACCAGCTCATGGGAGGTGGCATGACCTTCACCAGCATAATTGTGCATAACTTGAACACCCTGACGCTGCCTGACATTGCCAGCACGCTGCACGAGGCGTTAGCCAGAGGCGAAGGCTCGCTACAGGCACAGAAAGCTCGCTGGCAACTATTGAACGGTGCCTGCGAGAAGAAGCTGGAACATCAGCTGATGCAGGAGATCCACCAGAAAGCAGGTATTGACATGAAACTGGCTGTAAACAATTCGTCGAAGCGGCCACTCCTGGATTTCGGAACTGGCCAGGCTGAGAGTGTCGTCTCTGATGCTGGGCCAAGCCTCCTATTGCCAGCAAAGGGCGGACTCTACCTCTACTTGGACCCTCAAGTCTTCTCTAGCGCCAAGTGCTCGTCAAAAGAGAAGCGCAACCAAGCGCTGAACGCTTTGCGGGCAGATCTCCCCAGGAAAGGCCTCAAAAGGAAGGCAGAGAAGGCAGAGTGCTGACTCGCAAACTTCAATTTTAGATTTTGCCACTTTTGAGCTCCCGGCCTTGTGGCCCTGTGCCGTCGCATCTTGTACTTGACAAGTTTGTGCCACGGCAGCTTGGCAAGCAGCTGTCTCGAAGCAGTTAAGCCACTGCCACCAGTTTCACACAGTTTTCAGACGCGAACAGCCAGCGGATCAGAGTCTAGACGTGCCAAGTCAATCTGATTCAAATGATTAATGGAAATTCGCGCCATTCCGAGATAAGTCCTGTCTTTGGAGCGGCATTCTCCGGTGTTTTCGGGTTACTGATCTCCTAGTTGGCCCGAGTGCAGCCTAACATAATTTGGAGCGCGTGATTTCCTCCGACAACTTCTGCACCAGACTGTCGTGACATTCTGGTGGCGTGATTCTTTCTTCACTCGATGTCAATGCTGATGTCTTTGGAGCCTGCCTTTTGGAACGTCGTGCATCTTAGCATGAAGGGGTGGCGCTGTCAATTTGGTCTTCTTAGAGTTTGTCAGTTTCTGCGGCGGACTTCGCTGCTGCAGAGCCCGGCTCCCAAGGCTGCAGGACCCTTGGAGGCCAGTTCGGCTAAAGCATGCTAAAGCGTTGCAAGAGTAATCATATCAATATCACACTTCTGCCTTCTTGCGAGTGGCAGGTCACGAAACTCAAGCACGGCCAGGGCTGGATTGTCAAAGACAGCCCAGAGGCTGCAACGTTCACACCTTCACTGTTCTGCATCTTGCTCAAGCACAGCAGGCAATGGAGCTGCTGGCAGAGCAATGAGGCATGTGTCAGAATTTCTGTGCCGGATGAGCTCAGAGCGGATCTAACGTTTCTGGCAGCTGCCGGTTTGCCTTGTGCATTGAACTCCGACATGCGTCGAAAGCGGCTACCAGCTTTGCTGTCAAACAAGCTAAAGAGCTGGTTCATCAGGATGTGAATGCGGTGTGGGGCTGCAAGAAGCGTGTTCTTTCCAAGTTGCTCATGAGATTGCGAACTGACCGAGAGAAGTACTGAGGCTGCGATGCTTGATCGCGACTCTTCCAATGAGGCGATTAGAGTGCTAGAAGCCAAAGCCGAAGAATGCTGCTTCCTGGAAAGGTGCGGATCGAGAGGCTCAAGGACCAGTTCCTTGGCTACTGCATGCCAAGATGCATCAGCTTACCACACAGGGACATCACGGCCCATCTTTGACAAATTGACTGAGGGTGGCCTGCCTGTTCAAGGAGGTGCAGGTTGCCAGGATCTTGACGACTTGCCTCCACATCCTGTGGGGTTGAGGCGATTCTGGGAGATGAGTACTGTGATTTGGCGTTTGCACTAAGCAGCCAGCTTCGTGCGTCGCCATCGTGCGCTTGCACGTTGGCTCAGCAGCTAAGCCATTCTTTCAGTAGTGTTTCTGCCTAGGTTCGTTCTTCAAACGAGTCGTTGAAGGTCGAGAACGCTCAGGCAAAATGGCATGGCGGTGCTTTCCTTTGATGTCAATGCCGCGGCAATCAGAGGCCTTCGAGCGAGCGGCCCAAGCTGAAGACGATGCTCAGCAGGCCTTATCGAAGGGTCGGCCATGGTCGGCCATCTTCAACAGTGGGATGGTGCTTTGCTACGCCTGTTCTACAGGCACGAGCTCGAGCTGCGCTGGTGGAAACAGGGGTGGCCCCCCAAGAGTGCAGGGCGTTGCCTGTGCTAAGAAGCAGCTTATCCCAAGCGAGTGCCTGTCAGTCGGAGCTGAGAGACATGGCTTCCTGCTCCCAGGTTTTGCCCGAGAAGCCTTTCCGGCTTTTTGTGAAGCTCAAAGCTATGCAGCGGGATCATTGAGGCTTCTTCGAGAACATGAGAGCTGTCAAGCAGCCAGGCACATGCTGGCGACTACATCCACTTTCGTGGAGTCTCAGGAATCTTTCCTGACCTCCTTTTACCCAGCATGTCAGTGATTGGGGCCTTTCGTTGGCAGGAGTTGACCATCGCACCGTTGAACTCTGGACCTCTGGCTTCAAGTTCTGCTGGAGTCAGGAGCTAAAGCGTTTGGCATCAGATTGGCATCTGCCCAGCGCGCCACAAACCATGTTGCAGTGGTCGCAACGACATCCTCAGGCGCAGCCCTGGTCCCCGAACCGTCCGAGCTTTGTGCCAGTCCCACACTTAGCTGCTGAGAGAACCCATGCCTCCGCTGATACTCGTACAGTCGTACCGCTGGTAGCTGGTAGCACAATTCTGAAACTACTTGCGCAGAGCAAAGGTGCAGTTGCCATGCTTTGTACATAGCTTCAATTACTTCCACTCGAACTGCTTCAGCTTTCACAGCTTTCTACTTCAGGCAGATGGAGAGACGGGAACTCCCCGGGCACTGGTCAAGACACAAAGCACGCCCGGGTCCTGATGTTGTCCAGACGGCTGCTGCAATTCGGCCATGACGTGTGTTTTGAGTTTTACCGTGTGAAGTGTATGTGCACGGGTTTGCTGACGGCATGCAACGTTGTACGTACTTGCAGCCACCAAGCCACGGGCTGAGAGTAGCGTGTGGAATGCCAGTCTATGCCAGTCTTCAGCATCGAATGGACAGATCTGGCGAAGAGCGCTCCATTTTGTATGGAATAGGTGAGAGGACTGTAACTATGAGACTCAATACAACGTACAAGCGGTGCCACTTTGAGAACAGTAGCGGAGCACTGTAGACAAACGCCAAGCTGCACATGTTGTTACACATATCGGCAATAACTTCACACAGATGGTCGCTTTGCAGCTCCAGCTGCGGGTCTCTGGGCTCACCGGCCCATTGTGTGAAATCACACTGGGTGCTCCTTGCGCCGTGCAGGACAGGAGGATGTCAGAAAAAAACAGGGCGTGCCGCTTGTGATCCAGATTTGTCCAGTCACGACAGGATGTGAAGGATGCCCTGCAAGCGAAGCTGGGAATACCAGCCAAGGAGCAGAGGCTTCTGCTGGGCAACGAGGAGCAAGTCCATTGACGCAACAACGTAGAGGTGAAGTGAAGGGCTCTCCAAGTTGCCTCGGCTTTCGCAAGCGGGGAGATCCACTTGCGCAAGCTGAGGCACTCACACAAAACATTTGGGTCAGCTGCAGGAGCCGGATGCGGCATCTTTACTTTCTCCTATTGCTGGGGGCTTGGAGGTTTCTCTGCTCCGAAGCATCCCAAAGCTGTCTCCCGAGAGCTGGGCGTACTGGGCCCAGACTCTGCAGGAGGCCAGTTGCTGGGGCAAAAGCACATGCAGAGAGCTACTTTGGACTGAATGCGTTTTGGGTTCTTCTGGAGGATGGCATGGAGCTGATGTTCGCTCCGGAAGAGGTCCAAGCTGACAGAGAACTCGTCGTGCTCGCAGCTCCTTGGACGAGATCTGAAAACGGAGGAGCCCAGTTGTTTCAGGTGTTACCGACATGCACTCCAAGAGTCAGAAATGTCAACGACCATGGCCCATGGTCAGAGCATGAAAAGTGATGTTCAAACTACAAGCCCCGTGCAACATTTTTATCTCGTATGTATATTGGCTTCTCAGAAATTCCACATTTCTCTCACAAGTGTCCCATGTCCTCTGCACATAGGCAACAAAAGCAACTGCGCAAAATGTCGCGAGCTCAACGCACATTGAGATGCGTGCTGAGCGAGGTGTGGAGGAACAGAGACAGAAACATGTGGAAGTCATGTGGACTTTTGCAGGCCCACCGGCTACAGGAGTGCAAAGAGTTCAGATGGGACACAAAACGATCCAAGCATGTGCCACCTCCGCTACTGGAGTTATGCAACTTCCCACGTGCAATCAAAATTGATGCGCTCACTGAACTGCACAACTTCAGGAACGCCTGTGCAAAACTAAATATGAAACATGAACGCCTCACGCTTGATCAATTCTCGCAAACCTGGTTTCTCTTAAGCCTAAGTTTCAGCTGCAATCCATGCTTCATGCAGGCTACAAGTCCACACTGCATATCTGAAGAGTTTGGAACATCGACAAATTACCAGTTGGAAGTTTGCAGCACGCGTGGTTTTCTGTTTGTGGTGTGCAAAGCTTGCCAAAGATGCGATAAGCCAACAAAGAGCCATCCTGCGTCATGACATGTCATGACACCATGTAGTCAGCTGTGGCAGTTCCTGAGGTCCAACGGTGCGGTGATGCGCTGGCTTTGGCTGCCGAAGAGCTGCGGGGGGACCGCGATGTGGCCATGGCTGCGGCATCCAGACAATCATAGCACGCTGCTGCTAGAAGATAATGCAGGGACCTCTTGTGCATCCATGATTAGAGTCCCTGCTCACAAAACTTTTTACCCACGGGTAGGTCTTAAGCACAAAGGCACAAAGGAGCTAGCTGATTATTCTTAACAGTCTATTTTCAGCAGAATCCGCAAAATGTCGTAGGCGAGAGCGGGGAAACGGTAGAAAGCAAAGTAGAAAGCAAAACCAAATTACAGTTGAAGAAAAATCGGCAACTGCTCAGTATTGCCAACTTGGCTGCAGCTTGCTGAAGCGTAAGGCAAAGAGCAAACAAGAACAACAAGGAATCTTCAAACGCACAACCTAGCATACCATGGCAGGTCATGATTCTGCTGCTTTATCGCGGACTTGCTTCCCTAAGGTGTCGAAGAATGGGTTGGCCCTGTCTTTCGTGTCATTGGTGCTGAAGGCTGACAAGGATGGAAGTCTTTTGCGTCACAGAGTGGGAATATGTGGGAAAAAGGAGAGCAGATTTGATCTGTCCTGAGGAGCTCGTACTTCAGGCAGTACGCCAGAATGGCCTGGCTCTCCGTTATGCCTCTGCAGAGCTTCAGAGGACAGCAGCTTTAGAAAACACGGAAGCAGCGGCCTGCTTTTGCCTGCTTGCCTCTTCAGGGACCATGATGTGGCCTTGGCAGCCCTGGAGCAAAACGGTCACCAAGCTTTGAAGACAGTCCTGCATTTATCGTTGATGCGAGACCTTATTGTTGAATACCTGAGCCCATCCACATCACGAAAGAGACGCTGAGTTCCTGCGATGCTTGATCAAACAGTTCTCCGTTCTGCGCAGATAAGGCTATGTCATAGCAGAGCCAACCTTCGATGCTTCCTTGCGCGAAGATGCTGAATTAGCCCACGCGGCCGTGTCGTATGATGGCTGCACGCTCAAGCATGTGGGACCAGATCTCCGCGTCAGAGCTGCAGTTGTGTCCACCTGGATGTTACAAGACCGAACCCCAAGACTTCGCGGTTTGAAGGTAAAGACCGTCAAGTCGTATTGGCAGCCGTGAAGTCGAACGGCAATGCAATTCAGTGGGCAGATGCCAGATTCAGATCTGATCGAGAGGCTCATACACCTGAACGCAGGCCCGAACTAATCTTGAGTTGCAGAGCCGCGTTGATTGGCCAGGTGATGTTGGCTGCGGTCCGCTACCATGGCACCTTGCTTCGGTGCGCTTCGGAGGTGCAGTCAAGTTTCATGGCATCTCTCCTTCTGCAAGAGAATGCAAGAGAGAACGAGTCGCAGGCGCTCCGCAATGATCGACAAGTCGTCCACCAGGCCAGCGGGAAAGGCAAAGCTCAAAGCACATCAAGCTTGCCTGCTTTAGGCTATCCTCGGACATGGCTATGCGTTGCAAAAAGCTCAGCTTCTGAGACTAGGTAGGGATTCAGGACGGCGCGCGCGCGCGCGCGTGTGTGTGTGTGTGTGTGTGTGTACAACCCTGTGATCCAAGGGAGAACTTTTTTCCACGTTTCTATGTTCGCATGTTTACAAGCAGGGGGCAGTGACAGAGTTTGTGAGAT